CCCAATCACTATAATCTTCTCCTTTTCAAGTGTCGAGTTGACAATAATAATTTCTACATAACCTCATGAACTTCATTTGTCTTTTTTACGCGTATTGTGCAACACAGTAATCCTCGAGCTTCGAGCTTCGTGTGGATTTTGGGGGTTTTATTTGGTGAACAGTAATATAAAAAATGATCTTGGACAGAATTTGAACTCTGGCCGCCGATTACACTTTGCCTGTCGCTACCCATTCTATTACCTGTATATTTAAGCACATGCGCACTTTACTATAGCAACGAGTAATGGCGTGGAATAAACATAACGAATGAATCTTCTCTAGTAATAAGATTAGAATTAATATCACATGTAAGAAACTAAAGTAACAGAAAAAGTAACAATCTTTGGAAAAATACACATTTACATGTCAAAAGAAATGTTGATGGTTAAATTAAATTAAAAGATGCATATCACATAAATTAAAAGATGCATATCACATAAATTAAAAGATGCATATCACATATTGATAAAACAATTAAATCTACTACCATAATGTAAGACCTCTAAATTATCCTAACACAATAGCGCCATAATATCTTAAACTAGTACCGTTCATAAATTTTCACTCCCATATCGAGAATGTTTCTCTTATAATAATAAAAATCCAAATAACCTATACATTGGTTACACTATTATTCCATTATCTCGTAGATAAACTTTCCATTTATCTGATAAAAATATACATATATACATACTTAAAATAAACCATGCGAATACTTATTTATGATATAAAAATACTATAGAAATGGTATTCAACATTTCAAGAGTCACGTAATCAATGACCGCCCTGTTCAGATGTCACAGGAACAGTGTGCATATCTAGAGCTAGATAATCTGACGGAGACTATCCATTTTCAGGTTGGTTTAAAAATCAAAATATTCCTTCTCGTAAACTGGGAGTAACTTCAAGGTAAAAACCTCATCAGCCCAACTATTTAAACCATAGCTAGAGAGAGAAGAGGTCGATTCAGATATTTCCCAAGGTTTGGTTTACGGCATGTCAACCACAATGAGTTATTAATGCCGACAAGATTTTTATTGCTGTTATTATTTTTTTCAAGTGTACTACAGCTATTTTTCCCCCAAAATGTATTGTTGGTGATATTTCTTCGTTCAAATATGTACTGCTGGTAATAATGTTTTACAAAAATGTATTGCTGGTATTAAAGCCTATTTTGAAACTTTCATAATGTTTTAACCTAGTTTGGGGGTTAACTATTTGCCCCATAGTTGGGACACTGACAGGTGCTACCACACCGGGTCAGGATGGACCTGGGAACACCAGCAATTCAGAGGTGATTCCTCGCTCTTCAAAACCTCCTGATCAGAGACCTTGCTATTGGATGTAGTTGATTGCCTTACCCAGGACGCGGATGTAGTTTATCGTCTTACCCAGGACAGGGATGTAGCTTATCATCTTGCCAAGGACACGGGTGTAGTTTATCGTCTTACCCAGGACACGGATGTAGTTTATCATCTTTCCAAGGACGGGGAAATGTTTATCGTCTTACCCAGGACGCGGATGTAGTTTATCATCTTGCCAAGGACGCGGATGTAGTTTATCGTCTTACCCAGGATGCGGATGTAGTTTATCATCTTGCCAAGGACGTGGATGTAGTTTATCGTCTTACCCAGGACAGGGATGTAGTTTATGATCTTGCCAAGGACACGGATGTAGTTTATCGTCTTACCCAGGATGCAGATGTAGTTTATCATCTTGCCAAGGATGCGGATGTAGTTTATCGTCTTACCCAGGATGCGGATGTAGTTTATCATCTTGCCAAGGACGCGGATGTAGTTTATCGTCTTACCCAGGACGCGGATGTAGTTTATCGTCTTACCGAGGACGCAGATGTAGTTTATCGTTTTACCCAGGACGCGGATATAGTTTATATTCTTTCCAAGGACGCGGATGTAGTTTATCGTCATACCCAGGGCATGGATGTAGTTTATCGTCTTACCGAGGATGCGGATGCATTTTATTTTCTTACCCAGGACGGATATTTCCCAAGGGTAGTTGGGCGAAAGTGAAATCCCGGCATAGCAAATATTTTTCGCAAACCTTAATACCACACATCCATCCACGAATTTTAATAAACGAGAACAAATATTAGAAACAGGTTGCAAAAAAATAAATTAAAATAAACTAAACTAAATTGTAGAAATAAAATTTAATTAAATTTAAGAACAAACAGATTAAAAATATTTCATAAACCGAAAGCGAACAACATGGCGACGTGGCATTTGAAACTAGCTTGTGGTTTAATACATAAATTTAAAATTCTAGACTTAAATTTAGTAAGACAAAAAAAACAAGAACTCTTTGGAAATGGCTTATGAACAGCTAAATATTATCCAACTTCGAATCCCATATAGAACACCGAGAGAAAAATATAGAAATAGATGAGACATATTTGAACCATTCCATCAGTGAAATGTTTAAATGTAAAATTACATTTTCCAAAATGTTATTGCTTGGTCAATTCACTTTAGGTATTGTTGTAGCATACCGGCAGACGATAATGGACATGTCACCATTCAAATAAATACAGTAGTAAATAATCTATGTTGGAGATTCGTCTCCAGTTGAGCTGGTCAACCTCTCTGCTTCCGGACAGAGAGGATGCCCGACGAGTCTATGTGGGACGCTTTGTAGATATCCTACAGTCGGAGTTTCGTCTCCAGCTGTGCTGGTCAATCTCTCTGCCCAAGGGCAGAGAGGATCCCCAGACGAGGCTATGTCGAGGGGCAGAGTCTCGTTTCGGGAAACAACTACGTGGCAGTTTTATACGGGGAATTTTTGGCCGAGCCCACGAGCTCAGATACCCCACATTAAATTCGGACTTGTGCCACATCTGACCGTGTGGAGCGGTTAGTAGATATGCAGTTGGATATTCGTCTCCAGCTGTGCTGGTCAAACTCTTTGCCAGGAGGCAGAGAGGATTTCCGAGACGAGCCTATGTCGAGGGGCAGAGTATCGTCTCGGGAAACAGCTACTCGACCCCGTTTTATACGGGGTCTACAGGAAATTTTTGTTTCGAGCCTATGGGCTAGATAACCCACACTAAATTTGTGCCACATCTGAACGCGTGGGGTGGTTGGTAGATACCTTGCAGTTGGAAATTCATTATGGAACTCACTTGACTCATTTCTAGCAGTTGCTTACTTCTTTTACGCGCCGCTGGCGAATCTTATATGTGTTGTTCTTGTTACGGTTTTTTGTGTATATACTATATATAACTAGTGAGCGAGTCAAAATGACTTATTTCCCTTTATAGTCTACCAATAGAAGATTAACCAATCAGGAGCCGCAGAACACTGTATCCGTCGTGTATAGAGGCGGCCATCTTTGTTTTCCCTACCGGAATGACCAGAGCCAACATGTGAGGCGAACATGACAGCCGGAAGAACTACACTATGCTGTGATATCCACTGCGAACCTGAACTAAGCTTTCCTACTGTCTCCGAAATATTCACTGCCAACCTCTGGATTCTATACTCGAGGACGACCGTCATGAAAATGTCTAACAGTTCATTCCTAAGAATTATCGTTAATTACCAATCTTCGCTTGATTATTCTCTTCAGTAACCTTCCCTAGATTAAAACAACTATGAATGATTCATGGTCGAATTTGAAAAGTCAACGATGCTGACCGAAACATGTAGAATCGGAAAGTGTGAAAACTTTCATGGCCTATTCTCATCTCCACGACAGCGTCTGTCTGCCCCTGCATGGTCTCACGTTTTGCACTGTCCTGAGGTGGAACAACTACATTGAATCAATAATTTCATCTCCCGCAAAGAAAGTTGGTTATATCTGGCGCGCCAGGAAATTTTTCTCGTCTGCGTCCATCCTTCAAATTTACACACCTTCTGTTCACATCTCTTGCAAACTGATATCCTCCTCTTCATTGCCATATTCCCAACGTTTCGGCCGTTGTACGCTCCGGCCTTCTTCAGGTGATTGGAATTTCGAAACGAACCCTTTATTTCGTCCACAGGAGTGTTTATTGTTCTCGTCCCACGTGTCATGCCTCTTCCAGATGTCTAAGTTATTTCCCTTTAACTCAATTCTCCATGTTTTGGTTCATCTCTGCTGTGGCCTGGTATTGAACTCACAACTCTTTGGCTCTAGTCATTGGATCTAACTAAAAAAAATGGAAGATAAAGATAAGCTTTGGTAAAAAAAAATGCAATAACAATAAGAAAAAAATATGATATGAGCACTGTTAAAATACGGTTGCTGAAATATTAGGTTTATATGTCGCAAATATTCACACACAGATGTCCTGAATGACACATGACTCAATGGACAAACACGTTGTGAGTTCAATACCAAGCCACAGCAATGGTGAACCAAAATAAGGTGAAAATCCAAAATCTCAAGTGCAACTAAAAAGGGGATGGACAGAAGAGGACAAGCCATTGGCAAGAAAAAAAAATGCCACAGTTTGCGTTTTCCGAATGCAATTGCATCTGTTTATCCCAAGCAGGCATGGTTAATCACATGTAACGTCACACAGGGAAACCTAGCTGTAACTGCCATGTTTGCCCGGTTAACAGTCATACCTGCACATACAAAGAGAAGTGGTTCTCCAGTCGATCTGGACTGACCAGACACTTGAAAATACAAAACCAGCGAACCCAGAAGCCAGAGACGCAGGCGCAGGCGCAGGAGCATCGAACAATTGCCTACCACGGTTATCATTGCAATAAATTTTGGAAATCGCTAACCACTTTCAAGAGCCATTGTCGCATTCATGACCGTTAATAGTTGTCAGTGATTGTCATACGCATTTAATGAGTCGACAGCTACCGTGTACGAAGGCACTGCATTGTGTTCGATGAATCAGGTTAAGCAAAGTGGAACCTAGTTAATAATTAAAGAGGCCACTACTAGGAAACACATGGTACGGTAAGCGATGGTTATATATGTCACAAAAATCCATATCTTTTACGAGAGTCTATTTTTCTTAGTCTTTTCCTGTTTATCTAAGTCTCGGCTCGGCTATCTGAGTCTATCTATCTATCTATCTATCTATCTATCTATCTATCTATCTATCTATCTGTCTGTCTGTCTGTCTATCGCAGTCACGTCTCTTCTATATCAGTTTATTTAGAAGAATCTCTCTCTTTCTCTCTTTCTCCTCTATCTATTTCAGTCACGTCTCATGTATATCAGTCTATTTAGATCTATCTATCTATCTCTCTATCTATCTATCTATCTATCTATCTATCTATCTATCTATCTATCTCAGTCACGTCTCATTTATATCAGTATATTTAGATCAATCTTTCTCTATCGCGAACGTTCTCTCGCTCTCTCTCTCTCTCTCTCTCTCTATCTATCTATCTATTTCAGTCACGTCCTATGTATATCTATTTAGGTCTATCAATCTTTCTATCTAATCCTCTATATCTATCTAAGTATCAATCTATCTATCTTATTCATGTCTCATTTATATCGGTCTATTTAGATCAATCTCTCTCTTTCTCGCTTCCTTCCCTATCTCAGTCGCATTTTATGTATATCAGTCTATTTAGATCTCTCTCTCTCTCTATCTATCCATCTACCTATCTCAGTCACGTCTTGTGTATATTAGTCTATCTATCTATCTATCTATCTATCTATCTATCTATCTATCTATCTTATATTAGCCATTCAAAGTCTTTGCTGCAGGAACGCATTGAAAATAAAATATTGTTAGATATTACGTATTAAATCAAGCACTAATGGCACAACAGTGCAATAATGTTTATTTAATATAGAAATATATTAACACGAAAAGGACTTGATATTCGTCAGAATTTACGTCTTATGGGCAGATTGTACATTCAAATGTATAATATGAATATATAAGTAATAGTTGTCGACGAAAAAGTGGTAACTGAGCGAAAACATATTTTTAACGATACCGAAATTGTATAAACATTAGCGAATCTATATTTCATCTAAATTCATATTTCACAAACTGTTCGAAGTTCATTTCGAATGAAAAGAACAAGAAATATTGGCCACAGCTTCTTATACTTTTCTTCTAAAATGAACTTAGGACAATTTCTGACGGAATGTCCGCCTTGTGTAAGAAGCAGTATTCATAATATGAAAAAAGTCAATTAGTAAAATTAATCAACACAAACATACAGTTTTGTTTTAATTAATAATTGCTTTTGATGCCTAAATACGCAGAATATATATATATATATATATATATATATATATATATATATGTGTGTGTGTGTGTGTGTGTGTGTGTGTGTGAAAATATATAGAAAATAGGAAGGAACTGGTTAGGTAAATAGTCCAAAGTTCCTTAGTATTTTGTTATTATTTTAAAAATAGTGCTCGATACAAAGAGGAGCATAAATATAATTATTTATTTAAAAATATGATTCCAAATCGCTACATAAGAGGTCTCATGTTTCAAAACAAGAGCCGAAAACTTCAATATAATCCTTTAAATTAAATTGAGTTGAAATTAAAAAGGGCTCCGTTCCATCTTCAAGCGAAATTTTTGTTGGAATAACGTATATCTGAAATTTACTTGTTTTAAAAAATTGAAATCAAAATCACCATGGTAACAGCTAGGGCGAATTGTCTAAAATGGGTAGGCGAGTGTAGGGTGTTAATGATGAGTAGCGGTATAGAGATACTTTCAAGGTGTCAAGTCAGGGGGGAAGGTGAGGGTGTCAAAAAATGAAACGAAGATGTATTAAGCTTTCGTCAAGTTGGCTTGTCTATGGAGATTTATTTATTTATTTTATTTTTATTTTATTATGAAAGGAATTGTGCATATAAAAAAAAAAACTTTCGTTACGTTTGTTTTTTTGACGACTTCATAAAGGGTTATCTTTTATGTAAGGTATTTAAACTACTAATTTGGGCTATGGATTATGAAGGGTGTTATGTTTATGCAAGTTTGTAGTTAATAATTTCTACTATGAATCTGATGATTGGGTTATTTGTTAAACAAGTTATATTTTTTTTTTTATTTCAAACCAAAAATCTGATGATGCCTACAAAAAACCGTTATCTGGTGTCTATTATTTAATAGATTATTATTATTTAGAAATAATCTAGAAGTAAGACCAATACTAATCTAATCAAGTTAGTATCAACTTTGTAATCAACTGTTGAAGTCTTTAATCGGAGGCTATTTAAGGCTATTAGTCAGGTCATCTGGTAGACATAAAATTGAAATATATATATATATATATGCTAAGGGAAGTTAGTTACTCTACAACAATATCTATCTATCTATCTATCTATCTCTCTCTCTCTATATATATATACATATATACTTTATTTTAGGATATTACATAGAAAACATGTCAAAATAGCTACACAATTGCAGTCGTTTTTCGATGTGTATCAATGTATCTCATCAGGCGACTGTAATTAACTGGAGAGTGAACGATTTATTCAGGTTAAAACAAAATATACTTGCTTCTTACGAAGACACAGACTCAAACACACACACATACGCACAAACACACAGACACACACACAGACACACACACACACATATATATATATATATCTATATGTGTGTGTGTGTATGTTTGTGTAATTGCAAAATTGTCCAGATCGTGTAAATGCATAAATGTCCATCCCACAAAATGTTTAATATAAAGAAAACACTACACTAAGTGAATTTCTTTTTTCCAGGTTTTCAGATAAGACATTTCACCATCTTGTCACCATTTCTCTTAAGAATCTCTGAAAAACATTTTGAGTTATTCAGTTAGAAATAGCACACGTTAAAATGGTGATAGAAAAATTAATTCAGACCTTCAGTAATGCTAACAACATTTATACTTTGGCTGCCATATTCAAATTCCCTTCAAGAACCATCAAGAGAACGTTGAATAAGTTTCTAAAAGAGTGGAAGGTAGAGAGGAAAACTGGATCAGATCACAACAGCAAGAGGGATCATCATTCGAACTTAAAGCTAAAGAGATCAATTAGTAAAGTTCCATAAGACGTTTGGCACATGGGAGAGCAGTTTCACCTATTACAGTTCAAAGAGCAGTGATAAAATACTTGAAAATGAAATAGCAGGTTAAATGTGTGAGGCACCATGTTACGACAGGACATAAATCTAAGTTAGAGAGGGCGAAGATCATTTTTGAATGTTAGAAAATTATTATGGAATAATATATATATATATATATATATATATATATATATATATATATATATATATATAAGTTTCATTAAAAACAACTGATTAGCTGGTGGGTCATGGAATTTAATAATTATGTATTTGAGTAGCAATTCCTCTTTTATACATGTTTCATTCAAGACGACTGACTGGCAAAGAAAGGTTGCTCTGCTCAAATATATATATATATATATATATATATATATATATATATATATATATATACACCTCGTCTTTTCCTCCCTCTTACTCTAACATTAGATTGTCTATGGTGTGTGTATGTCACCACGAAATGTATCTTTATGCATTAGACATCCGACAACATTCATTTTTCTCTTACTTAAACCCCTTCCACCCATCTCTCCTAATATTCTCTCTGTTAAGGTTTGATCTGTCTCCTCCTCATACTTACACTCTCTCTAAATTATGTTTTTAATTACGGGGATGTTTTTTCTGTTTTTTTTTTTTGAATTTGTAGGTCTGATGAATTGAATCGTATTTACGATTCCAATGGAATAAATTATGACCATGGAATATTAGTGTTTATGCTTTTTTTTTATATATATATATATATATATATATATATATATATATATATATAGCTGACAACTCGTATTCGAGGATACCCTTCTACTAGGGAGGCTAGCCAATGTTTATTGCAGAGTTTTGCTGAGCCTACCTGTGGTTTATACTGCGACTATGCTGAGCAGATATTAGTTACAGTTTCTGGGAAAGACAGTGTTATCTAGCCTGATCAACGATTTGAACAAGTCAAGCCCACTCAAGGGCTCGGCCAGTCGGCCACGATGACTTGTGGCTTGGTGCTACCATAGCTATCGACGGCCCTCAAGGGTTCGTCTACCCAATTTCACTCACAAGGTTTGGGTCAACCGGTGGTATGTTTTTTATGCACTTTCCAAATGTGCCGCACGCTGGGATCTGTAAGTTTCTTTCCTGGCAAATCGACCATGGTCAGATTCGAACCCGCGTCTCATGGTCAGGATGCAAACGTTCTGCGTTCTTTCTATACACACACAAACATACATACATACATACACCTCCCTATATATATATATATATATATATGGCCACGTGGTTTCTTATATATAAATGTGTGTGTACTTAATTTCAATCCTTCATGAGCTTCCGATCCTTGGCTATGATTAATTAATGACGAACATTTCATTTTCGTTAATGATCGATTTCATCATGAATCTTCTGTTAATCTTGGAGAGTAATTATACCTTCTTATTGCTCAACGTAGTGTCCAATTAGTTTAGTGTTTTCTTGTTTTTTTTTTATAGATATTACACATTTTGTGGGAATGACAATAATTCCATGCTTTTACACGATTTGGACAATTTTGCTGTTACACCCGGTCTGTGTGAATTTTTTGAAACGAAGTATTCCGCTCTTAGATATTTTTTTCTGTAAAAGTGCTTTTCGATAATTCTCATGGCATTGACGAATCTCTTCTGCCCATATTTCGTTGAAGCCTTTCGGCGCAGTTTATTGCATCAAAACTTAAAGAGGAGAACGAGTTCTTTTATGTGACTCACACTCCAGCGCCAAATTCATTTTCTCTGGAAGATCAAACGTCGGATTCCCGCTGCAATTCTCATCAGTACGCGTCACTGAAGAAATCTTTGATCTCAATCCAAGAGAGCTGTGCGGCTGGTGGTTCTTGTTTCAACACAAAACCTGTTATTATTTATATAAAAGGTGAGTGAGTCCATTTATATGACTGAATACAGATTACCTGTCGTTACCGCCTGTCGTCGGACGAACCAACAGAAAATCTTTTGCCATACAAGCCATTTGGTAGATATGTTGATAAAGGATATATTGTTGTAAGGTCTGACTTGTTCATTGAATTTCTTTTGTAGAGATTGACAATCAAGGAACGGATTTCATTTGGAAACTTCAAAGTAAGCTATAGATTTGGAGCATGGTGATTTTTTATTTTTTTTTCTAACGAAAAGTGCGTGTGGCAGGTGATCTGTAAATTTAACTGACTTCATTTCGTTGTTTTCCTTTTTTTAATCGTTTCACAAGCAAGGTGACTGTGCCACTGGAACACAGCGAGCGAAATTTAAAGAGAATAAGAAAACTGAAAAGAGAGAGTGGATTGAGGAAAGACCACGAAATAAAACAGAGTACAAGAAGACTGAATATTGCGAGTGACGTTGCATGTAATTCTTTGAAGATTGTAGTTATCAGGGAAGCAATAAATCGGAAGGGAATTTCACAGCTGGGAAGTTCAAGAAAAGAAACAGAGTAGAAATGGCGGTTGCATTTAGCGAGTGCTACAGTAAAACTAACGGCCAATCTAGTAGCACACTTAAATTCATGTAATCGGGACACCAAGTAAAAAAAGCTCGTTGTAGCAATTACTATGGAAATAACGGGAATCAAGAAGACAGAAGATGGTGACTGATGTTGAATTTAGATTTTGTAAAGTTGTAGTTATCAGGGAAGCAACGAAACGGAAAG